GGAGGGCCTAGGCCCTACCCTAAAGGATATGACAGACTCTGAAGACCCCCCCATGGAAGGCCTCACCCTCCCTGGGGAGCTGAAATGGCATTGGATAGGTAGGGTGTTAGTCAGGGGCAGGGGAGGAGGAGAGGGAGAGGGAATAGGATTGACATGTGAAACAATCTTGTTTCTAATTTAAATTTTAAAAAGAAGAGATTTCAAATTAATAAAAAGAAAAGGAGGCGAAAATATTGGATGAGTCTAATGTTGACTAGGAATCAGCTCCACAGGTTTTGATCCAGATGCTATTCAACAAGGAATTCACCAAAGAAAGGTATTGATTGGAGTATAACTAGCCATGGGCAGAGCGGGACACATACACGGAAACAGGCAAAACCCATTAAACTCAGGGAAGACTTAAGGAGTTTGGATAAAGGACAAGTCCTTAAAGACAAAGACTGAGGGAAAGAAGTACATACTGTAAAACAATTATTCTTGGCCACATGATTAGAATCGGTGGTGTAATCAGTCTGAGGTTGACCAAATAGTAACAAAGGAATTATCTTCCTAACAGAAAGTTTGTATTCAGTACTTGTGGCCTCTGCAAACCTCTAGGAGGTTTTGTGTGGCAATTCCCATTAGACAACTGGACATAAGAGTGCTTCCTTTATAGCCTCTTGATCTTATGGCTTTCCTTGTTGCCATCATTAACTCAGGTGACTCCACTTTGATTCTAATACATGTCATATTTCTTTCACGGTGGTTCATAGAGCTGTCACTCAGGATGAGTGCTCCGCACTCACCTTGCCATGAGTAAGACATCTCTTGACAATCCAGCATAACCATGGACCTTATAACAAGCTTTCATGACAGAAAGCTAGCTATGATGGGGCTGAAGAATCCCCATCACCCAGTGACATGAGAGCCACCATAATTACGTTATTCACATTTTGTGATAAGATTCGTGTTGGCAAACCTGCTGCACTGCCTGTTGAACACAGGTGGCATTTATACAGTTACATACAGTCCACGATAGCCAATAATGATAAAAACAATGTGACTGGTACATGTTTATGTTAGTGCCCAATGTATCTATCATTATCTGAGGCTTTGTGGGAAATCTTCATGTAAAACAACATAATAGGATATGATGGAGGGGTGACAGCCTTCTACATCTCATGTTCGCCACATCTTGTGATTGTTTCATTTTCTCTCATGCTGGATTTAAATCTCATGTTGCTGTGATGATATATTGTTTATGGTTTACTAAAGCCAATGGAGATCAAAGTAGCAAAGCAGCCACATTAGTTAGCCATAGAAGTCAGGCAGTGGTGGCACACGCTTTTAACTGCAGGGCCCAGAAGACAAAGGCAGATGGATTTCTCTGAGTTCAAGGCCACCCAGGGCTACACAAGATTGAATCAGTCTAAAAGAGTAACAGAGCTCATGCCTTTAATCCCAGGACTCATAAGAGGTATTCCAGATAGGAACAGGGTCTCAGAGTTGGCAGTCATTCTCCAGCCACATTGAGGATAGGAAGACATTGAATTATCCAGCTGGGCTGAGGAGAGGCAGCAGTCTGAGTCTTGGTGAGAGCTCTTGGAGACTAAATCAGCCCGTTCAGCCTGAGGTAGAGGTGAGATCTAGTGGCTTGGCTGCTTTGCTTCTCTGATCTTCAGCTTGAAGCTTGAACCCCAGTATCAGTCTCTGGGTCCTTTATTTGTCATGTTACATGTTGTTTGGCTCACCAAGACCCCAGCAGCAATAGTCCGCACCATACATGGAAACTGAACCTCCAGGTTTGTTGAAGTACATACTATGATCTTCAAGCAACACAGAATCACCTAACCACACATTTCTCCGAACACACACCATTATGAAGTCAGGCATTTCTGTGCAATGACATAAAGTGAAGTCATTTTAAAAAATAAATCCTCTAAGTCCAGGCCAAGCTTCTCAATAGACTATTATCCTTTGATAGTGGCGCTTAGGAAATTCTCTTTATAAAATGTTATGTTACCCATATTGTCTTAGAAAGTATACTTTTAAAATATAATCAGAGATTTTTAAAGTACACCTGAAAAGATGATACATGCACATATATGCACATGCTTGAGCGCACATGTGTGTACATATATGTGAAGGCCAGAGATCAAGGGAAGATACATTCTTCAGTCACTCTCTGCCTTACTGTTTTTCAGGACAGCTTCTCACTTTTACAAGGAACTTGCTTATTTGGCTGTGCTGGCTGGCCAGAAAGCTCCAGGGATCTTCCTGTCTTTGTTTTCTTAGAACTGGGATTATAACGTGTGTTTTTTTTTTTTTTTTTTTACATGTCTTCTTGGGGTTGGACTTACCCAGGTCTCCATGCTTGTGTGGCAAGCACCTTCCTGGCCGAGTCATCTTCCCAGCCTTGTTTTCCAGTTTTAAATTCAACACTTCTCTTTGGCATTGTGGAGCTCTTCCATGGGAGATGCGCAAATGTGGATGACAAGGAGGCATGATTTGGGATTGTGGGAAGAAGAAACCATACTCTAGGTGCAGAACGTCTTCCCCGCTCTCTTGATGTCACCTTCATACACACATCGTATCCAATTATCTCCCCTTACCTTCCAATATGCCAAATGCTGGGCGAGTGGGACAGCATGACAAAAGCAATAATGATTCAGTTACGAGATACTGAAATACATTATTAAGATGGAAAGGAAATCTATAGGACACTTATCTTGCAATTAAAGGCAATATCTAACCATGAGAAACAAGCTAACCACCTGAAACCATTCAGTGAGCTAATGCTGAGCATCCGGGGTTGCTTGCCTCAACCCCACCCCAGAGCTGCTTGTTTTCCAGGCTGCTTTGATCAAGCTGCTTCCATGTCTCCTGGCGCAGGCAGAGAGTCGCTACTGAAATCTCCGAATTTCAGGCAGCTTTACCTTAGCAAAGTGAAATGAAGCCTTAGGCAACCTCTGGGGTATTTAAAGTCATGAATAATTCAAGGAAGAGCACCTACTTTCTACTCAGAATGTAAGCATTTTCCTGCAGCGTCTGTGGCCCTACCTTTTTCTGTCACCGTGTTTGTAAACACGCCAACCGTGTTATCATACAATGGAGAATGCACATGTGAAAGACACATAAATTTAACTTTAAGTCCTAAGCACATACATCTTGGAAGGTCTTCTTAAACTCCAGACTGTGGTTGTAAAGAATGATCTTGCTAAACGTGACAGTGCCCAAATAGAGGTGTGTCAGGAAAGTCTCTCTAGCGCTAATTTCAGAATAAAGAGAATCTCCCTTCCACCTAATGAACTATTCACATACTCTATTTCACTGAGTATCCCTAATGAAGATGCTATACCTACTTGGAGATAAGTGTAATTAGCCTCATTTTACAGATGAGCAAATTTGAGGTCACAGAAGTTGGAAAACTTGACCAAGAACACGAAGCTAATGAGCACCAAAGCTGAAGTTCAATTCCACTTATGCAAAGCACTTAGTGTTCTAAGGAGCAGAATCGGGCGTTCGATCCTTGCCTTTGCACCCCATGGGTCACAGCCATATCTGTCTTTAACCTTCACCAGCCAGATACCTCTGCCTTGTCAGCTAGATAGCTCCAGCCAAAACTGGACCAGGAAGACTATCGTGGGAAATTACCAATACGGAGTTAGGTAGAAATATAAGGGTATTTAATAGGGAAAAGCCTTACTTACAGAGCAACCTAGCCAGCTGGCATGGTAGTGGTCTGTACAGCAAGCAGCCTGTACAGCAAGAAGCAAAAGAGAAACCGAAACCGCAAACGCAGTCACACTACGTCACTCTGACCACGCCCTCACAAGCTTGGTCAGGCACACCTGTAGCCAGCCCCTAAGAAGGCATGGCTACAGCTTCCCCTACAATTCCCCTTTTAGTCTAAAAGAGGATTAAAACTTAACAGTATAAAGTATCCAAAATTAACAATCATAAAGGTAAAATATAAGAAGATACAACAATCTGCTTATGTCACATCCTAACTATCTATTTTAACTAACCCCTAAAGTCATCTAAAAGAGGTGTCCAAGCCTGAACACCTCCTTCCAATCCCAACCATAAACAATAGGAAGCTATTTCTAACTAGGTATATACACTATCCTGAGTGACAACAATGGGGAAAGGGGGCATAACTTTTAGAATCCAGTTAATTTGACTCAGCCATTTAGCTGAGAAGTCATTTGATCAAACGGATATTAAGTAAGAACATACATTGGGATACACATTGAGTATGGGTAACCACCAGGTGCTCCTTTAAATGGCTCTTGGCATGTATCAACCTGCAGCTCTCTTTTCACGCATGGTTCACAGCTCTCTGTCAAAAGGGACATACTCGAGTTTAGGAGTTGGCTCAATGGCTAAGGTGCTTGTCGTGAAAGCATAAGGACCCCAGACTCCCAGATCCCACATAAAAGCATGTGTTGGCATGTATCCCAAATGCCATGGCTGTGACGTGGTGACAGAAAGATCTCCAGGAACTTGCTGTTCAGTAAGTCAGCAAGCCACAGATTCTGGGAGAGACCTTACATCATAACAATGTTAGGAGCTGGAGAGAACACCAGATGTCAATCCATGGCCTCAACTTGCATGCATCCTGACACACGAGCACACTCAAACACACATGCACAGGAAAAGAACACACTTTGATTGGGATAACCAACACAGCACAGAGCAGGAAAAGACTAGTTATGCAACTTTGCACCTTTGTGGCGATATAATTGTCAGAATGCACTCAAGAGCTGCCATTGAATATCGTGGAGCCCCTCACACATACAAACACATACCTGCTGGCACCAATAATTTTTTACTCATGGAAAAGAAACAATAATAGTTTCTCTCTCTGATATGTCCCATCTATTCCTTGCAGAGGTAAAAAAATATAGCATTTTCTTTTCACATAAATAAAACATTAGAATGGATGCTGCTTTGGGGACTGAAAGTAATTCTTGGCAAATTAGGAAACAAAACATCTCTGCGGGTTTTCAGAGACTTACCAGTAAGCCTAACGTGTCCTGGTCTCAGCTGAGCTGTTCATCTGTGGGATCATCACACACTCAGACCACGTAGAAAGACATATTCTCTGAAGCCATTTATCTCATAATGCAAAAATGGAATGCTTCATGGAAGGGGACTTTTTAAAATATTTCTCCAGACCTTTTTGATTTCACTATCAGTTTCTCTTCTTTGGAAGTCATAAAAGAAATCTTACTCAATCATAAAAGAAATAAGGGTGGTAAACAGGAGGGATCAGGAAGCTCGAGTTGGGGGAAGAACAGAGAAGGAGAGCAAAGAAAGAGATACCTTACTAGAGGGTTTAACGAGAAATCTGGCACTAGAGAAATCTCCAGGGATCCACAAGGTTGACCCCAACCAACAATCTAAACAATAGTGGAGAGGTTCCCCGAAATGCCCTTCCCCGATAATGAGAATGATGACTAATGTAAAGGTCATCCTAGAGCCTTCGTCCAGTAGCTGAATGAAGCAAAAGCAGACACCCACAGCTAAACACTGAGCTGAACTCCTAGAATCCAGTTGTAGAGAGGCAGGAGTGATGAGCAAAGGGTCAAGACCAAACTAGGGAAACCCACAGGAACAGTTGACCTGAGAAAGTGGGAACTCACTGACTCCAGTCTGATAGCTGAGGAAACTGCACAAGACTGAACCAGGCCCCCTGAACGTGGCTGTCAGCTGGGGAGCCTGGGCAGTCTCTGGGGCCTCTAGCAGGGGAACCAGCATTTATCCCTAGTGAACGAATTGACTTTGGGAGCTCATTCCCTATAGAGAGATACTCTCTCAGCCTAGATACAGGGGGGAGAGCCTAGGTCCTGCCCCAAATGATATGTCAGACTTTGTTGACCACCCCCCCAGGAAGGCCCCACCCTCCCTGGGGAGTGGATGGGGGTGGGGTGGGATGGGGGATTGGTAGGGGGGATGGGAGGGCAGGAGGGAGAGGGAACTGAGATTGGTATGTAAAACAAGATTGTTTTTAATTTAAATAAACATTAACTAAAGCAAAAAATAAATAAATAAATAAAGCAACCCTGGGGGCACGTTACTTAGATGGGGTTAAAGCAGAATATGCTTCATATTAACTGAGACACAAAGTCAAGAATTTTTGTCTGTGAGTCTGTTTGTGTTTAACAGTCCATTAGCTCCCACTGCCAGTAAACAGCCTGACAATATGGGGTTCAATTTTCGTCATACTGTGGTTAGAGCAGAAATGAAGAAAACAATGCAATGGCCAGCAGATTCCCTTCTTGAGAGGGCTTATGCAGCATAAAGCTTTATGGGAAGATTTTTGATCATTGAGTAGATTTGTTCTATCGTAAGTCAAGTAATTTCCTCTGCGGCCTAAAGATCTACACAGAAAAGTGTTCTGGTAAGAGTCGGCACAGGAACGATACCCTGTCCATCACTCATCTTTAATGAGCAGGCTTCAGCGGATGTGCTAAACAACCTTGTTGTGTGAAGCAATGAGTCACTTCACTTCAAGGAACCACACTTGACTTTATCTTCAGAAACATTTTCTTCAGAAACCGCTTTTGAATTTTTAATTTTATTTTCTATGAATGGTAGCATGAGGAAAGACCGATGGCTTTACCCTATTCTATTTTTTTTTTTTTATTTCAGCGCTGTGACAATACGTCATTGGTTTTTCTTGTTTCCTTACTAAAACTAAGAAATCATATGCTGGAGATGGAAGGGGGGAAGCTCTAACTGCCATAGAGGATTGTTAGAAGTCTAAAGCGATGTCCTTGGAGGTCTGTGCTCTGCATGCCCATTTCTTAGTGCCCTGCCCACAAAAAAAAAAAAAAAAAAAAAAAAAAAAAAAAAAAAAACCTGGGACGGCAGGAAGCAAAGGGTCAGCTTACAAAGTTCTGCTACATATCTCATTCATGACTTCATGTAGCCCAGGCAGCCCAGCACCCCATGATTCCCGTGTGTGTAGTCCTCTTTTATTGATGAAGAATGTGAATTTCAAGGTCATGGGGTAATTTTCTGATAGCCCAGTGCCTTGTGCATCACGGGCTCACATCTAGCCTCTACCCAGCCATCTAAGCCCAAAGCACAAGTCATCCTTCACTCTTCCCACACCTGAACACCTCTCCTCAGTCACAGGATTCTGTGGACCAGCTTTTAGATCAATGTTTCTGCTTCATTCCACCACTGGAAGTATCTGGGAGAGACTCTGAAGTGTGGGAGGGAACTATCTGCATTCGTTTTCCAACAGGAGAATTGAGAAGAGGTTCTCTCTCCACTCAGGGTCCGCTAGTGGGCTACCATTCACTGAGAGATGAAGGCAAACTCCTTGATAGCTCTCGTAATATCACCCAGATCTGTTGCTTCTTTGCCTCTTCAACGATACATCTGAAAGCTCTTAACATCAGGTCAGACACAATTATAACTTTCAATTTTCCAAATGTTCTTTCTTCTGCTGGGTATTTTCAAAACGCCAAGCACTGTGCCTCAAATGGTTTCTCGTTTCCCGTGCGTCTTTCTGATCCTACTTTGGGAATCCTTCACTAAGTAGTGAAAATGTTCTTCCTTGATGAACAGCCTGAGCAGCACCTGAGAGCTAGTTAATGAGATTCCGAGGTCCATCCTACCCCTGAGTCAGAATATCTGGAGGTTGGTACCCAGAAGATGCTGCTTCTGGGTGACACCGATGCTGTCTCCTTGTAGATGAACCCAGATCCACAGGCGAACACCCTTGGGAGCATAGAGAAGAGCTCAAGCCACAGCTCATCCTTAGAGAGTTTGGGAGCAGGTGCAGCCTCACCGTACTGTACTCCTGCTGCTTTCTTCTTGGTTGGTGCCCCTCGACTTAACTGTGGTGTACAACCAGGCTAGTTTAAATAGTCTGATTCTCTCTCTTGATAGTTAACCTCTGTGCTCTCCATTGCCTGCCTGCATGGTAGAGAAGGTCTACAAAGGTAGGGACTACAGTCTAAGCAGAAATCCAGAGCTGTGACTTAGAACTATGGAGCTCTCAATTTAAAATCATAAGGAAAAGTGCATGTTAACCAGCTCTTGGCCTGAGGACCCAGGCCAGCAGGTGCCACTGAGAGTGACACTGATTGCCTCTGTAAAGAACAGCAGTTCACTGGAACAAAAATTATGAGTGATCTTATTTGGGCAACTTCAACAAGTTCTAAACCTCATACACTTCTACTTTATCAACAGGAAGTCAAACCATAAAAAAAATAGCTTCCTCCTTGTGACTATTTATAAAATGTCATCCACCTGCTCCACACCGGGAGACACGTGCACCTCCTATCACTCTGCTCATTTCCTTTTATTTTACTTGGGGTGTGGCAAAGCCATGGAGATTTATAGTCAAGCCCACAAATAAATATTTGAAAATATTCTCTGTCTTGAGAACTAATTCCTACAGACCCTTTTATTGTAAATCTTCATAACCAACTAAGTCTATGCAGGTTACATGAACAGTGTTTTGTTGATTTAAAAGTATGCTAATATCCACATTATACAATTCAAATATTTGATTAGAGTATATTAAGCTTTGAGGTACAGTTTCCTATGAGGGCTTGTGCTAAAGAAATAACAAAGCAATGTCACATGCAAATAAGGGGCAACACAGTTGCAGGGAGACTTTAATTCTTTTAAGTCTGAGAAGGAAGCCTGTTGTTAGGGAAGGAGGAGCCAAGGATTAAGAGGCCTGCGAGGAGATGCTGCAAACTGAAAATCTCCTGTTGAAGAAGGAGAAAGGCTACAAAATGACACAGAGAGAAAGAGATAGAGTGAGAGCTCCGGATCACCATGGTAACAAGAGTAAACTAGAGCCAATTGGGAGTAAAATTCTACAGTTAGACAAGGTTGAGCATAGGTAAGGCTGGAGACTTGGCCTTCCTGGCCTTGCTTCCTCTTCCTCTTCCTTTCCTTTTCTTTTTTTTCTTTTCTTTTCTTTTTTCTTTCTCTTTGTTTTCTTCTGATTTGGGAGGAGTCTGGCAAGGAAACCAATGCCACCAGCAAAGAGAGTCTCCCTTGACCTTGCCAGGAGTAGCAGATATCAGGATCTATGAAGCAGGTTGGCTGCTGCGGTTAACACCTGAGCTGATGGACTGAAGTAGCCCAGGCCTGAAAAGAGCAGCAGCACCAGGTGCCTCTCACTACCATCGTCCCCTCATCCACACAGGGTTTACTCCAAGGCCCCCAGGGGACATCTGAACCCGTGAAGAGTAGGTTGCAGGCTGCATTTCTTCCCATATAATTATGGACAGCAAGAGCCTGACGATAAAAGTAATAATGAAATCGAAGTATAATGGCATATGGTTCTGAAAGCTACATGGACGTAATCCTTCTCTTTCAAAACATTTCCTTATGCTTGCAGCTTTTCATTCAAAGGAAATACTTTGTACGTTTTTCTTGGCATGTCTGAACTGCCAGCATTACTATTCTTGAATCTTATGGGCAGTATTAAGTGAAATAAGAGTTCCGTGAACAAAAATGTTACATGATAGTCAAGCTGACAACTAAAATATCTCCTAGTAATTTGTATACCCAGACAGCATGGACATGTTACACAAAGGGTTGACTAACCTCTTTGTGAAATAATGTGAGAACTCAAAACATGACAGGGAACTGTTCATAATTTAAAATTAAAATTCACTAATTACCCATTTCTGATATTTTCCATTGAATATTTCAACTGAGAGAGAGATGGGGGTGGGCGATAATATGTGCCAGAGCAGACATTGCATGAAAAAATATATATTATATATGTATATATATGTGTATATATATAATCAAAAATTAACAAATTTTGAAAAATAAACTATGGATAGGGCTTGAGAAGGCTTTTCTGCTCAGCTCTTATTTCTAGATGATTGCACACAGGGCAAACTGTTTTCGTTTATGACAGAATTCCCCACTGTTTCCGTGGATGCCCCCTGAATATGTTACAAATGTGCTGAGATATTGAACCTCCTTATTCCTTTCCCTCGTGTGCTGTATAAATTTTTATCATCCTCCAGATGAGCTATGGGGGGGAAGAGTGCGGCACACTTGTCTCTGACTGCAGCAATAGCCAGGGACCCAGATAGGGTTGTGGAGCCGCTGCCTGCATTTGATGAAGTAGCTTGTCCTCTTTTTGTAGGCTGGGATGATCAACTAGGCTGAGGAAAACATGACTCCATCTTGACCAAAGACAAGTAGCTATGTGTCAAAAAGAATTACCTGTTTACCTCCTGTACATGAGGAAGGAGCTTGGGAATAGCTAAGGGGGATGT